ACGCCAATACTGGACGCCACTACTGTCCCCGTCTGCAGGGGGCTTAGGAGATATTTTAGAGTAAATCCAATCAGGCAAATGGAAATTCGCTTGGGATTGCTGCGGCGGGGGTATTATAAGGATGCCCATGTTATTATTACGGAGAGTGCAAAAACTGTTGTAGTTTGCTTGTTTATGATTATATTTTAATGAAACTTGGCAAATTCATTTATTTTAAACTAAGCTATTAATATATTAATAAAACTCACTTTATTAATCTCCCTGTAGCAGCAAACCTTGGTACTCATGAAACGTAATGTTATTGAAATTTATTTAATTGAAAATCAAATCAGGGAAATGGAAACTCACTTAATCTGCAGTTTTGCTGTGGTGGGGGTATTTTGCCTATTCCATGAAATGCAGAGACGGTAATGCAACTTCTGATTTTAAGGAAAGTGAATAGGTTGCTGCAAATCTCTGGAGGCAGTTGAGAACACAAAACACTGAAAGATTTTTTTTTTAATTTTAGCTTTTAACGGCCGCCATTTTGGAACGACTACTGTAGATCAAACTCGACCATTGACAACCTTGGCCGAGATAACGTATTGAAGTACTTGTGTGCCAATTGTCATAAAAATCGGTTCAGGCATTCGGTCATTATAGCCAATTCATGGCGACCCAGCATCCTCTTACGGCCACCATCTTGATGACGTCATTACGGACGACCGAGGCCCTTAAAAATTGGGGTCTGGGGGGTTTTAGGTTCAGAAACTTGTATACTATAACCACCTAAAATTGCAGCCTCCCCGCCAGAACTGAAATATTCTGCCACTATATGCAACTATACAACCCCACTATGAAGATTATTGAAGAGTTAGTGTATAAGGAAGTGAAATGCCCTCTGTGGGTTTGTTACTGACAAAGAACAGCTGTTTCTTATTTAGGACTATTTATTAAAAGATTATTGATGAAAGACAGTTGGACCAAGTTTTGTATCGTCAGATGACCTTTCGCTTGGTATGTATTATGAACATGTGAAATTTCTTTTGTAAGTGTTTAATTTTGTTTAAGCAACTCAGCCCCACAAAATTTAGTATATTGAAGCTTTGTTGTACGCAAAATGGCCAAAGAGAAATAAAAAAATAATAATCAATTGTTAAATGTCATTGTAAATTATTTGTAAATTAATTGTAATTAATTGTAATTAATGAGAGAATTATTTCTAGAATGGTATCGAATTTATTCAACCTTATGCCGTATAAAGCCGTAAAAAGTTGAGGGTCTTATCCTGTGCTGTCATTGTTTTTATAAGTATCCAACAGCCATAAGCTTCATTGGTGTTATAATGCATATTTTATAGCAGAGCGTGATCTTGTAAATAACACAGCTTCCTGTATCGTAAAATCGTAGAACCTTTTATGTGAAGGGTGTTTTATGGTGGAGGTCCTCAATGTTAATATTTGCCTAGTATACTTAATTCATAAGAACTATATTTAATTTCTTTAACATATTTTTAAATGGCTAGACTGCCCATGTCAATAAAAAATTAATAGTTTATTAGTTTAAATCGTTATTGAATAAAACATTTATTTAAAATATAAATCATGTTCTATTAAATCTTCAAAACTTTTAAATTGTTATTTCTGGTTTCATCAATTATTGAGTCAAACATTACTGTTTTATATAAAACAAAGTTAAAATACAATTTTTGGATCTGATAGTATAATTACTTTTGTTAAGATAGTTTTAAAACGTAATTCTATCAATTTTCACAGATATTTTTAAATAAACTACACCATTAAGCATTGCGCCTTCCACAGTTAAGAACAGGCAATCCAGGTGCTGTAACCAGATTGAGAATGTAGTTTTGAAGGCGTACACTTCCCCCGGTAACTTGCAGTTTGAAATAAGGGCCAGTGAATTTTGCCTCATAATCAATGACCGGTTATACAATTTAGTTTCATCAATAATGAGTTATTTTTCTAATCCGATCAATTATAGCTGTGGATTTGATTTAGTGGATATCATAAAGCTTTACTTGTAGATCGTCAGGCATATCATGTTTCCACCGCATCTGATAATAATTCGTATAATGGAGTACGGATCAGTTTTGAGGCCATAATAATCTAGTCTAATATCGTTATTGGTTTAAATGGTGCTCACGTTACGTATTATATTTTCCTAAAGTTATTAAGCATATAAATAATTATTTTTTCAAACACTAACACTTGGTCTTTTTAAACAACTTTGTGATGAAAAATATCCGCAATAAACCTTTGAACACCATTAACTCACAATCACCAACACTGAACTTCAAACAAATGACAAAGGAAATGCAGCAATTAGCCACTTTGCGTGTTATAATCAGTGCAAGGAAGCCTATTTTGTCAGGTAACTAGGAAAAAACATTGGTTGCTATTCAATCATGCATCTTTAGAACGATTAGCTAATTGTTGTCGATTTGAACAATTGTTGTCAACATTGATTGACATATGCATCCAATACGTTTTAAGCTCCAGTCTCTTCAACGTAGCATGTCGGTGCTTGATAGTGTTCTTGTATATTAGAATTATACTGTACAATGTGAATATTGGCCTAGATTCTTAATTTCCTAAAGAATCTGGTACTGTTTTACTAGCCGGTAAATGTTGTTTGACTTAAATCTGTAGTAGTTTTGAATGTAATTTTATATTCATCTCCTTCCAGTAAAAACTTGTTAAGTAATTTATAAATCAGTATTTACGCTAGCAAATTATTAATTTAATTCTTCCACTAATATGTAAAAGTCAAACTTTCACACATATATCTAGATTAACTGCAAAACAAAGATAAACGACAACAATGGAAACAGCTGTTTAATTATGTAAAACACAATGTTTTGGGGTAGACTAAACAGCAACATCTAATTTAAAATATCGTGCAATTTAAACCCTCACAACTAGCTGATATGACAAAAGCATAAACGGCTCGGGTGGTTGGGTTTGTTTTGTTGAGGTAAAAATAATATTAAAGGCTTGTGGGTTAGTGGGGAACCTTTTATAACACAGTGTTTAATTGTAACTATTGTAACTAAAGGCATTTATAGCATAGTTTAACTTTACATCTAATACATTTCTTTTAAAGTATGAATTATTTTTCCATAATGGAAAAATGTAGTGAAAATAGGGTATGGTGGTTCTGGTTAAACTTTATTTTTACTCAAACATAACTTTTTCATATTTAAAAAATATTAATTACAACAAAAGACGCATTAAAATGGTTTTATGAATTAAATATTTTGTTCTGGTAAAGAATACAATTTTAAAGTAACGTGTTGTTCTTTTTGTATTTTTACATCTCTGTTTTCAATAAAATAAAATTAAGTACTAGACTAAGTTCTGCAACCGGATGTGCCTTGGAAAACCGGAAGCCATAATTAGATGTCACGAGGTGTGATCTGTGTGTGACGTAAGTTAATTGCTTCGTATTCTTTGCCTTCGAACTTTCGAGAGTTGTCGAGTACAAATCGATCTGCCTCTTGACCAACTTTCTTCCTTCTTCCCACGATTGAACCGTTTAGTTTGCCAATTAGTATGAATAATAGGAATGAGAGCGTTCAATGCCTAGTATTTAGATTGTATGCTTGATAGCAATAACGTGTTAGTAGTGTGATAGGTTTTATCAATATTAGCTGATTGAACTGAGTTTTAAGTGGTAGGATAAAATGCTTTTTTAAGCAACGGGGGCTGAAAAAATAACAAAAGTAACAAAAGTTTGTATTCACTCAAAAATTGTTGATCTCCTCATTATTACTGCACCTTGTTAGGACGGTTGGTTTTAAATACGGTTAACGGCATTTTATGTGTTTTACTGTCGTAAGTACACAAGTTCAATTTAAGTCTAAGCCACAACAACTAGACAATTACATCATTAGTTTGAGACGGGTAGCTATCACATAATGTATGTTGATTTGACAATACCTAGTTAGTGTAATTGAAGGCTGATGAACATGCATTTACAGTTGACGTGAGGAACCCAAGACACCTTGGGTTCTATTAGTCTACTTGACTAATAGCTATGGAATTTAAACTACAAATTATCAATGTTCAGTTGATTAGATTACAAAGGAACACAGTAAATCGACGTGGAGCTGAGTTTTTCGAGTTTAACTATGCTAAATTTAATACATACAAAAATTTACAATAAACATTTCGACGTCCTATAGTAGGCAATCAAAAGTTATGCTAACAAACTCCCGCAATAGTTGCTAAGAGCTTCATGATTTAAAACATTTTTTTCAAACAAATCCCTCTAGAGAAATTCATTTCGTAGAACATTTTGACATCTTTCGTCACATCTTTAACAATCTTCTACTAGCAAGGTTTCAAAAAGAAATCTATGCATTAAAAACAGTTACCGGTATCAGCTTGTATTACAAATGAAAGAAAATATCACTAAATTATAAAAAAAACAATAATCTATTAATAAGAGCCGTTTATTCCTTTAGTTAATTAATTATTTTCAAGCCCCCTCCTCCAAACTAATAGACGTTAGCAACTTATTTCTATTGGTCTTAAATTTTCGTGAAAACTCATTGCTTACATTTTGCCTCAGTAAAAAACAAGTTCGGTATTTTTAGGTACTTGTTTAGGCAGTAGTTAACGCCATTCAATGTTTTTTTGTATGTGCCTTGATAATAACGATTATTTAACTTGATTATTAAACTAGGCTGGGTAGCTGGTTGTATATAGAGCTCGCTTAAACATCAAAAGGTTACCAGTTCAATCATGAGAAAAGCCAGTAGAAGTTTCATCGTTCGAAACTTGGTTTTTCCACTGACTGAACTCAGCTGTCCCCGATCAAACGCTTTAAAGGCAATACATTGTCCTGGCTAATGAAACAGCTGATTAGGCAGTAACAAAGCTACACGGATCATCTCACATTATTGTACACATATCTTTCACTCATGCGTTAAAACACGAACATAGGTGGCGTCCACATCTCCATGATTATGAGAATAATAATGACTTGCCTTTTGTAGCATGGAGACATCAGAGTTCCGTGTCCATGGCAAGGCTATGGTGGACTACATGTGCGAATATATGGAGACTCTGGCAGAACGAAGAGTCACTCCTAGTGTGGAGCCTGGGTACCTCAGGAAGTTGTTACCTCAAGAGGCACCTCAGCAACCGGAAGCGTGGGAGTCCATCATAGACGACGTCAACTCTAAGATCATGCCTGGGGTAGGTCATGACCAAACCTGCTTAAACTTGTCTAGCCTCTAGATCACGTGTATAATAAAAGGTTAAATACCTATTGTAACCGTCGAGTATCCTGTTGTTCAGTTATGTGGCCAAGATTACTAACTTGTGGCTCATTTTCAAGCAGAAACAAATTTTTAGAACTAAAACATTTTTTTGTTGAATCGTCAACTATATATGTATAAATGCGTACACACGGTCACGAAAAGGTAAATTTTTTATAAAAAAATGTAGTGTAGGCGGCAGATGGCAAATCACGATTTAAAACAGGGACAGGTAGTTCAAACAGTTTATTTGAATAAGTTTAGTCTTTAAACAATAAATACATGATTTTATTTACAATGAAAATAACTACTGTTTGACTCCTATTCTCTCCCTTGGTTTCTGTTACTGTTATTACTGATGTGTCAACAGATTATAAAGTTGACAATAAGATTCCTTTCGGTTTGGCGTTGTTTAAAAGTCTGGCTTTTACCAAAAGCCGTAATTAAAATAGTATTTTTTTTTTGTTGGTGGCTAAATTCAATTACGTTGACTTAAATAAGTTTGGGCACGATTTAACATTGGAACAATGTTCTTTCTCTATTCATAGTAAAAGGCGTTAGAATGTCTATTTTGAAATTGAAAATTAGTTTTTTAGCAAATTTACCTATAGGGAAGTAGCTATTACCGTAGGTGGCACGGTAATACCTAGGGCCGGGAACGATTTAATTTTTCATTTTGATGTCCCTAGAGGCCAAAAACACCATTCGTTCTAACTTTTATATATGAACGCGATAATTGAAATTTTTTGTCCGAATAAAGTATTCCTCCCACATCCCCCATATCTCAATAGTATCAAATTAAATATTTACTCAGATAAAATGTTTTTTCTCAATAATTTGTGGTTTTGTCCCAGGTGACCCACTGGCAACACCCCAGGTTCCATGCTTACTTCCCGTCCGGCAACTCTTACCCAGCCATCTTAGGAGACATGTTGTCCGACATCATAGGTTGTATAGGCTTCTCGTGGGCCGCCGGTCCGGCATGTACTGAGCTGGAGACCATCGTGTTAGATTGGTTAGGTAAGTATGTGATCTGTAGAAATACGATAAATCTGTACAGGGTACTCCACCAGTAAGTATGAAAAAATGTTATGAATAAAAATACTGTAAAAGGAAAAAAGAAAAACAAAAAAACGCTCTATTTCTTCGGTATCCTCCATTTGGCTTTTTTCGTATTTAACATTTAAAATTTCACATCAAACTACTTCAAGGCATAAAAATCAAATAACAAATAGCTAAAAAAATCACGTTTTTTGTTGTTGTCCATTAGATTGTTTGAATATAGTATAGTTTAGGTAGATTAAAGAAAAACGTTGTTTTTTATAAGCTGAATTTTATAAAAAAACGTGATATTGGATATGTGGATATTGATGATTTTATTTTTTAATTACAGGCCAGGCAAAATGAGGCACACCCTGAGAGCTTGCTTGGTCTTTTTCCCCTGGCCTGTACAGCTAAAAATCGTATTTTTCAGTTTCACTGAAGGAAGGAAAGAAATGCGGTTCTGACTAGGCTTTGCCTTACTGTCGCTGTTTGTAAGTTAAGAACAATTTTACTTGTTCACTTTTGACGGGAAATTGGTTGATAAAACCGTTGATTATACACTATATGTATAATCAATACTCATACACCATATTTACGTGTATACTCAAAACAATTATCAGTTTGGAAAAGCCAAGAAACCGTCAAGTGCCTGCATTTACCAGCCGCAACATGTGTTACAAGAATGCACTGATTTAATGGAAGGCGCTAAATAGTTACTTGCGGTGTTGTGGTAACATCCAGTTGGGTAAAACTGCATATAACTGAAATACAACTGCATTTATGCTCAAAAAATTAAGATACACCTATGGTTAAATTTTATGTTAACTTAGTTTATTCTTAAAACCAAGGTCTTGATCATTTTTCTCGCTTTTCAAACCAACCTAACTGAATTTGTATTAGAACTAACTTTGCTGATAATACTATCTGTAGTCTACCTATTTGTTTCATGTTCGGAATCTATGTATATATCTATATATAGAGAGTGCGTGTGGGTATAGGGTATTTGTATTTACCGCGTTTTCTCCATGACCACGCACTGCCACTCACTCATGGTTGTAGTCGTAGACTGCTACTCAAAGTAGTGTTATATAGTCAATGCTGGAATGCACTCCAAAGTAAGACTATTTCCACTTCGATAATTACCTTGGGCTCTGCCCCACGGGCTTTCAAAGATCTGAGGTAAGGATTTTCAAATTAAACTATGACTGGGTTTCATGGTAACAATGACGATACTCACAATGTTTACATATACGTTGACAAACTAAATAATGCATTTATTTCACAATTCCACACAGCTGGTTTGCACATTAAAATTAAGAGATGGGGTTATTGACTTTGGAAATAAGTAAGATTCTACAACCCATGGCTGTATCAACCAAAGCTTCGCTCTTGAGTTTGCAAAGTTCGGCTCATTACATTATTTTATCGATAGATTTTGATGGAACCTGAGTCATAACAACAATATTTGCCTGATTTACTAATTTTAATTATATAGTTTACAAATTTGTTTGGCCCAAAGATAAAGATGTTTTTTTACAATGAGAACAAGGTGTCTATGTGCATTTTTACAAATTTGAGATAATATTTACAAACCAGTTACTTTGTTAGTAAATTTATTATTTTTTAAATTTAAATCGAAGTACAATATTAACTGAGTGTTTGTGCATAGAGGTAACTACATGTCTTTTCTTTTATCGTTGGATTTAGATAAGTAGACTTTTAATTAATTTATTGTAAAGCGTATATGTTTTTTTATGTTTGATGGTTCAGTTTAAATTCCCTGGTCTAGGTAATATGTTTACTCCTATTTCAAATAACATGCACTTGACTTAACCTCTTTAAATGTCGAATATTATTTAAAAAATAAGTAGTATTATTTTTCTACATAGGTCTCTCAAATTAAGCCAAAGGGAATACAGTAGTGTAAAACAAAGTTGTTTTATCTATGGTTGAACACAGTTGGGATTTATTTCTAAAATCAATCGAAAATCAATTTATTTCTAAAATGTGTGTTTCTTTGATCGATAATAAGTGTGGTTGTTTTGTTTTTCTTAGTGTTTTAATGTTTTAGTGTTGTAATGACGTTTAATATCTATATATCTAATTCCGTAAGCCCAAAATTTTACAATGAAATTGTGAGCGAACGGGAGGCCGTAGAAAGCTGGGAAAGGTCTCATTTTAAAGGTCTCGGCATGAAATTTTGGGGAAAATTATTCATTTTTCTTAATTATGAAGCAAAAGGTTGTTACGGAATAAAATAATTTACATTTAAATAGCATGGGAATCTAGGCTATGTCTGCTTTGTTTAATTTAAAACATGTGGTTTCACTTTATTTAAAGCATATGGTAATATGTAATATGTATAGGCCTGTACTATTATAAAGCTGAAATCGACTTTTTCCCAATTTTAAGGGTCTGGAATAGTTAATGGAGATTGGTTGTGTTAGGTATGTCTGAAAGAAAAATGTTAAGTTAGAAGTAATTACCTTCTGGAGTTGGTAAAGGAAACATATTTTTCATGCCAAAAATAAACCTAATAAAATTCTAACATTTAACATCTAATCTACAGATCCTAATATGCCGTTTAAGTTTACAAGGATTCAATACCCATTGCGATTAGCTTTTGCTATTATTTATTATTAAAGCGCAAGGTCAAACTTTCACAAAAGTTGGCATTTATTTGAAAAAAACCAGTGTTCACCCATGGTCAACTTTATGTTGCTTTTAGCCGGGTAAAGCGGCCAGATGATATTAAAATTGTACTAGAACCAAATAAAGACCAAGGAATCAACCAAAATAGATGCTATACAAGAAATGTTGTTTTCAGAGAAATTTCGTTATAGAATTAGCATTTTACAATTTTGTGGAGAATGACATTATCTCTGTGTGTTTTATCTAAGTGTATTTGTCAATATTCAAAGCAATTTATATATATTTAATTAAGATTATTATTGAAAATGTTCCTTAGTTGTATTATGATTAGAAAGTTTATATTATAAACACACCTAATAAACAGTCTTTTGGAATTTTTATTTTAAACAGAGCAGACATCAAAATGTTTTATGCTTGTATGTAATAACAATTATACATATTATAAGATACAAAATTGTTAAACAATAATTCAACGTAGGGTAACCCATAAGACTAATAATTTGTGCAAAATAATTACTAGATGTACCTATACTATATATAGTATACTATATATAGGGGCTATTATTGCCCCTACAAGCCACTAGTTAGATGTAATATAACACTATGAACCAGCTGGTCGTATGAGTTGTTTATTGATGTTTCATTTGATTTGACAACACTTGTGTTACAAAAAATAACAATCGTGAAATGTTTCAAGAAAGGTTGTGGTTGTTCGAGATTTTGCTGAATATCCGTGTGTGTGAAAATGTTCAAAATTATTCTACAGTATTTCACAGTTTTCCAGATTTCGGCCACATGTGGCCCACAAGGCTTTACAAACGAATGGTCACTGGTCAGAGCTTCAAGCGGTTCGTTGTTATGCAAATAAAAAATACTATGAAAATCTAAGTATTGCTTTCGAGATAATTAATACAGAATGTAAATTTGAAAGGCGTGTACATTTTGAAGATTAAAATGCAGGTAGGTGCTGTATGAAAGGGGAAGTCAAATTAATTTTGCTAACATTAACTAAGTACCTGACACTTCAATGCAATTGTTGATTTCAAATGAGTTTTTATAGCCATTATTGTGCATTGCATTTTGACCCAGACAACGCCGGGTTTCACTGCTAGTTAAAATATAAAGCTAAACCAACCTACGTTTCAAATGCACTAGCCTGATTAATACGTCTTCATGCCATCCTTGAAACGATGAATGAAGCCTTACTCGATGTCAAAGTAGACAGGTTTGTTTAAATTTAGCTTACGTTTGAGTTTTTGATTATAGCTAAAATTTCGTCGGACTGCGTTAGGATCAGGATAACTACGAATATTCGTATTATTTTTGGAAATGTATTTTTTTCTATTTAAAATATTGTATAACATGACACACATTTCACAACATTGCCAAACCTAACCCAAGCGGTAATCAGAAGAGTTGAAAACCACTGACGGATTAATCCCACTTTTTGTTAGGTACAGTAGAGTTATAAATACAAACATTTTCAGTGCTATTTGATTGTTTAAGTAGCCATGTGCAAAATAAATATGGAAAAGGTTTCTAGAACTATAAAGCAAGATTCTATTGTTGTCCAGGCACCACACACATCTTTACACTAGTAAAACTTACAAAGTTATGTACAATATCAGAGAACCAATCCGGTGTCTTTTGAAAGCGATAGTCGGTGTAGTAGGTGAGAACAAAAAGAAAGATATACCTCCGTTGAACCACAGAATAAAGACTTTATTATGTGGGTGAATACAACCTTTTCAAAGAAAATATTTTCCATGCATTGCTCCTAGAAGTTGCAAAAGCCACCGTGACATACCTGCGTCAGCAAGATAAAATACAAAGTGCGAAACGTTTAAGATAAAATGCGTTAAAGGTGAAGTAACAGGGGTGTGGAACCGTTGACTATTGTATTGAAGTTGTCATCCATCTACTCGTAAAGTAGTTGTAGTAGCCGATTGTTCTTAAAAAATAACAGAGCTGAGCCAGTCACATCATGCACTAGTGCATTCTACAGTGCATGCTGAACACATCCCTTCAATAATTAGTGTTACAGAGCCGAAAGCCTCTAGACATATATAGAAGGTTCATCACTTACCTAGATCACCGTTATCCCGTCTGGTTTGACATATTTATCTTACCTATCTTGTTTTTTACAAAGATTCTTACTAGCTCGATGTGGTTCAGCTCGCAGTGTGCTAAACTATACAAGTTTAATATGTGGACGAACACGATTTATAATTTGGCCAAGCTTCTTTTCGGGAATTCCGAAGTATAGTTTAGCATGAACAATGAGCTCTCCTTTGGACATAGTGTTCAAGTCTGTAATGTCAGTTGGAAAAAGAATGTTTTCATCACAATCCAGGAAATTACACAATCTTTTCTCCATGACATATTTGGATTTTTACTTGCAGGATCGTTGTATGGGGGTCGTTGTAAACAGCTGACATTTTTGGTCACAATAGAAGAATCTTTTCAAACCATTCTTCATTGTGAAAAGTTCTGTTTTATTATGATAGTCACCAGTGTTTTTTCTATCCAATGAAACCAAGTTCAGCACCAGGTAGAAACTTCTTCACTACCGATTAATTAATTGTTGTAATTGTAATGTTGGTTACACAACATTTCGTCCGTATATTGTGCCCTTCTGAGCACATGTTTTCAATAAGTATGTGTGGATGCCGATACCGCGAGTGATTCCATTAAAAACTGGGTTTTTATTCCGATGCTTTTTTTTGTAGGGAACTGGGGCAGAAAATCTATATGATTCTGATGGCAACTTTTGATGGAAGGGAATATTGATGGATGCAATAAAAAAACTATGTTTACTTTACCTGATTGAGCCAAGAGTGAATTCGTCCGGTGGAATATTCTGAAACGGTGCTTCTTTCGAGGTCCTTCGTTCTCTTCATTCTCCTTCATCAAAGTGGCAAATCTCTGCACTATAGACAATTATTCCAAACACACGTGCACTTTTTGATATACTAGATATCTCTTATAACCTAATTTTTCTCCCTCACATTTAAAATAAACATATAGCACTGACTATTATAGCATAGCGAATCGGACAGTGTAGATTTGGCACCAATTTCTTACCTAAAATTTTAGACAAACTGAGATGGACTAATGGTAGCTTTTAATTCTGGTGGTAATACTTTGGACCCTAAAGAACTCAAAACCTGACTTGAGGCGTCCTGTGAGTCAGTCGTCAGTGCCTCAGTGACGCACACTGCATGAGTCACTTTGCCCTCGGTCAGGGTCCATCTTGACGATGCACTACTTCCTCAGCTAGCAATCGATGGCATCTGCACTGCACACCTTGAAGCCGCGAGACTATCCAGTTTTATGTCAATTGGTGTAAATTATATGGATAGAGCAAATATGGTTAAGTATCATGAATGTTCAAAACGCCAAAACAATATTTAGCTTTTGATTGTCATATAACATGTTATAACCGGGCTAAAAAATATTTGTTTTCACAGGAGTACGTAGAATAAGACAAGTGAAATTTTGATATACTCCGTGTTAGAAGTATTTTGGTTACTTTTCTATGTAGCGCCCCAAACTAGAGTGTCCATAAGATGACTTATGGACAGATACTTCATTGTTATTTATAACTTTTTCCCCTGCAGAAGTCGTTGGCTCAATGTAACTAAGTAGATTTTGTTAAAAACTAGCGTAAACCTTAACATGGGTTTTGGATGTCTAAAAGGCGGGAATAAAACATGTTTCTATGGCTTAGCAATGCAACATTGGGGGAAAATATTTCAGTTGTTGTTTTATGTATTACAGTACCTGGGGACCGAGCTTTGCTCGGGGAAAATCATTAGTTTACTCTGAAAGCAGTCTTAGTATTGCAGATACATAAATCCATTCCCAAACTCCACACTGCTTGCCTTTACTACTTCCTTCACTACTTCCTACGTCGCGGACCGTTTCCTTCCGGTCTTCCTTCCGTTCCCATCACATTTTAGGATTCCAGATACCTTAATCTAATCCCTAATCGTCATAAACAGTTCCCACACTCCGGACAGCTCGCCTTGACTACTTCCATCACCACTTCCTACGTCGTGGCCCTGTTTCCCTCCCTTCCTATAGCATTTTTGGATTGGAAATACCTTAATATAATCGTCATAAACAGTTCCCACACTCCGGACTATTCGCTTTGACTACTTCCTGCACCACTTCCTACGTCGTGGACCTGTTTTCCTCCCTTCCCATAGCATTTTAGGATTGTCAATACCCTTATCTAATCGTCATAAACAGTTCCCACACTCCGGACAGCTCGCCTTGACTACTTCCTTCGCCACTTCCTACGTCACGGACCTGTTTCCCTCCCTTCCCATAGCATTTTAGGAATGCTAATACCTTAATCTAATTTTTCTAATCGTCATAAACAGTTCCCACACTCCGGACAGCTCGCCTTGACTACTTCCTTCACCACTTCCTACATCACGGACCTGTTTCCCTCCCTTCCCATAGCATTTTAGGATTGGAAATACCTTAATCTAATCGTCATAAACGGTTCCCACACTCCGGACTACTCGCTTTGACTACTTCCTGCACCACTTCCTACGTCGTGGACCTGTTTTCCTCCCTTCCCATAGCATTTTAGGATTGCAGATACCCTAATCTTATTGTCATAAACAGTCCCACACTCCGGACTGCTCGCCTTTACTACTTCCTTCCTTGCTAAGTCACGGAAAAGTTTCCCTCCCTTCCCATATCATTTTATGATTGCAAATACCTTAATCTTATCGTCATAAACAGATCCCACACTCCGGGCAACTCTCCTTTACTACTTCCTTCACCTTGTTATTTAATTCAACCAACATGGTTACTTAACAATAGCAACCAATAAGGCTAATGTTAAAAAAATGTGACTTTCAGTTTCATTTTTCTACGTTATTAGATTTTTGTTGGCAGTTCTAACTGTAGTAAACTCGTTTTTAGGCCAAAAATAATCTATTTACAACATTTGAAGAAAATCGTCGGAGCCGTTTTCGAGATCTTGGTACAAGCAAGCAAGCATACTACATACAAGCAATCATTGCTCGTATTAGAGTATAGGATATTGTTATAACAATGCAATACATATCCAGAATCGTTTAGCCTACGATGATAACCATGTGCTTGGGATTGTGCCTAAGATTTGTCTACGAGATTTTACTATTTACTGTGCCTGATTTACTACATAAAATATTAATTATTCCACACACAAACGATAATTTGTGTTTCTTCTTTAGTCTGAATATTTTACCAACGATAAACGGTCATTTGAAGTACAGTATGTTTTATTATAAGTGATCTTTTCACTTTCTCTTCAACTAACCCAAAGAGCACACGTACATATTACCCTTGTATTTGTTAGTTATATAGATCGGGAGTGTTTCAATAGCTGTATTTTTTACAGGTAAGGCCATTGGTCTTCCCAACGAGTTTCTGGCGTTTGCTGAAGGCAGCACAGGAGGAGGAGTTATACAGGTTTGTGGTTTCTTAAACAGTGTCAGATGTGCTACTAGTTAATCCCTACAAGTCAGAATTTCTTACACATAAAGGTTTGAGGAAGATGAATTACCTTATCCCTTTTGTTTCCCCAATCAGTATGCACCCTAATCAGTATCCTAGCTCAGCGCAATGGTTAAATGTTTTTAGGTACCGGTAAGGTTAATCTGAAGAAGAATTTATTGCTAAAGTATTAATATAAGCTAAGATAAAAAAAATATTTCAGCTAGATGGAATATTACAAGTCAACATTGCCTTTGATGGTGTGATATTTGTAGCATGTATTGAAATGCTATAAGTTGCATTTAGTTACGTATTCAATACAAATTGTTGCGGGGAACTCGTTTCAGCCTAGGCTATAGTAGGCTCCTCGTCATACATTAAGTATACGTGTATTTGACAGCTTAAATGTATTAATTTAGTTGTAAAATGTTCGCTTCTGCAGTCCGGAGCTTGTTCATACATGAACACGTAAATGCTCTTCATATTTATTTTGAACCGTGTTGTGTTTGTATGTTCGTGAGAAAATGTATGGAAATACATTTATTTAAAGGCAGCTGCTGTCGGGACCACGTAAGTTTGCAGTTGGTGGCAGCCAATCAGAAGAAAAGGCTAGTGCGACGTTCCCACATCACCCGTTGACAACACTAATTAAAATATACTAAGCAATATTTTCAAATCAGCTGGTATTATTAGGTTTGGCAACACCGCACGGTTCTCATTGGTTCATTCAAAACCATATGGTAAATAGGCTCCTCCCTCAACTGCAAACTTACGTGGTCCCGACTGTATAGCAATCATTCAAGTCTAACTACAAGGGTATGACGAGGAGCTTACGACATTCTTAGGTCGAAAAGCGTAACCCGCAAAATTTTGGATTAAAGTCGTGACTACAAAAAAAAACACCTTCGAATCCCTGACACATATCAATTATCAACTGAGACGGGGACACCATCTAGGTGCGTATTTTAACCCAAATATGAGTGAAGGCTTAATGTAGAATGAAGTGAAATTATCGTAAGTATATCCATAATTGGCACTGTTGTGTTACAGACATCAGCTTCTGAGTGTGTGTTGGTGACAATGCTGGCCGCGCGAGCTCAGGCCATCAAGCGGCTCAAGAAACAACACCCGTTCGTCGAGGAGGGAGTGTTGTTGAGCAAGTTGATGGCTTACTGCAGCAAAGAAGCTCACTCCTGCGTTGAGAAGGCGGCGATGATCAGCTTTGTCAAGCTGCGTATCTTGGAGCCAGACGATAAATGCAGCCTTCGAGGAGCTACTTTGAGACAGGTGCCTCTGCTGATTTGACTACCAAAATAGTCATTTTTTACTACTAGAGTGTTCACAAAATTTTAGCCGTTAGGGGAAGATTACCTGGGTTCCTTCATCCCTATTTATTAGCTGTATATAAGCTGGCTACCTTGGAGGGCTTTGACCTTTTTCACACTTCCACTTATCGCAATCAGAACGATGGGGTTATTGTTTACGTAAACAAACATTTATCTGCTACGGCTACTGAAATTACCATTGGGGACGTTTACGGCATTTCATTACACTTTTCTCTTTCCAACAAACACTTCAACCTATTAGCAATATACAAAACTTTTGATTGTAATGTCGAAATGTTCTTACATGACCTAGAAGTTTACTTATTTAATATCAATAAAGATCACATGGTTATTTATCTTGGAGACGCTAACATTGACATACTAAACATGAATGTTCTCACACATAGGTACTTAAACATTTTAACTGGATCGGGATTTACACAATGCATTGACAAACCTACACGAGTGACTCAAAACACAGCAACTTGCCTTGACCACATATTTATCAAATACAAAGACTTGGAGAGTGTAAGGTCGGCTGTGTTCCAGACTAATGTTACAGACCACTACAGCACCGGGATCACTATCACATTGGGGACAGCGAACTGTCACTATGACCCACCGCCACGCACACACCTGGACCACGCACTACTCACACACTTCCTCACGCATTCCAACTGGGATCCCATAACCTCCTGTCATGACAATGTTAATTTCTGTTCCGAACATTTTACCAGAATCATCTCTAATTCTGTTTCTGCGGCTAGTAAATTGGCTTATAACAAGAAATCACGTTTCAAAAAGTTAAAACCGTGGATAACGTCAGACCTAATACATCAAATAAGAGTAAGAGACAAATTAAGTAAGCAAGTCAAAAAGCAGCCTTTTAATAACGAACTTATTACTCGATACCGAGAAATTAAAAATAGTTTAAGTGTTTCATTGAAGCTGACAAAAAGAAACTATTATAGAAATAAACTACACTTGACCGGCAACAACCCTAAAATGTTTTGGGGCATAATCAATGAAATATCTGGTAGAAAATGTAAAAAAGATTCCTTTCCTATTGATAAGTTTGTTCCAGCGGACCAGATATCTCCAGCACAATGTCTAAGAGTTGCCAATGATTTCAACAATTTTTTCTCCTCTGTAGGCTCTAATTTAGCAATCTCCATCGATTCAGGTGGGGACCCAGTTGTTAATGACAATGACTTTGCCCATGATTGTACATTTACACTTCACACAATCACTGAACCCGAACTGCAACAATACATTTACAGCCTACGCGGTGGGTCAGCACCTGGCTGCGATGGTATCTCAGCCGAAGTCCTGAAAGCCAATTTCCATTTGATTAAACAACCACTCTTACTTTAAGCATTTCATCAGGTACATTTCCGGAATGTTTGAAACTTGCTAAAGTTTTTCCTCTTTATAAATCCAATGAGTTTGCCGATATGAATAATTACAGACCAATATCTCTCTTGAGTGTATTTGCTAAGTTAATTGAGAGAATAGTAAAAGATCAATTAGTTATATTTCTTCAAACAAACAACATTTTGAGTGATTGTCAGTATGGGTTTCGCTTGGACAAAAACATTTCAGATGCACTTTTTGACATTAATAGGGACTTAAATTCGGCAATTTCAGATAATGAACATCCAATATTAATATTTTTAGATCTTAAAAAGGCATTTGATTCAGTTGATCGATCTAAGCTTTTTTCCAAATTAGAAGCAGCTGGCGTAAGGGGTAACGCACTTCAATGGTTTAAAAGTTATCTGTCTCAAAGATCTCAACTTGTATCAATACTTAACACCAACAGTAATATTGAACACGTTAACTATGGTGTAGTTCAAGGCAGTACACTTGGACCTGTTTTATTTTTAATATATATAAATAATATTTCAAAACTTAATATTTTTGGTAAGCTTTTCTTATTTGCGGATGACACTTTAATTTTGAACAGCGGAAAAACTTGGCTTGAGGCCCGCAACAAAGCTTTGCACGACCTCATGGAAACCAAGTTATGGTTAAACCAGAATATACTCTCTTTAAATTCACAAAAACTAAGTTTATGCCAATTTCTTTAAGTTTAAAATCTGATTATAATCTAGAAAATCTCGTCATTCACACCTGTGGTTATTACCTCGACGCCAACTGTACATGCGAATCTATTGAAAAAGTAGATTCATTCAAATATTTAGGAGTGGTCTTTGATTACCGTCTTAAGTGGTCTAGTCATATTCAATATTTAAACAGTAAAATTAGAAAATATATCTATGCTATCGGTCAGCTGAATCAGATTCTAAATGAAAGTGAAATGAAATTAATGTACTATGCTTTTGTTCAATCACTTTTATCTTTCGGAATAATAAGCTGGGGGGGGGTTGTTATAAAAGTATTTTAGAGCCATTAAACATAACACAAAAGTTAATATTAAAAATTGGTTTTGGGAAGTGCAGGCGTTACCCATCTGACACTCTCTTTAAGGATGTGTCAGTTTTAACGATCAGACAACTTTTCATAAAAAATGTTCTAAGTCATATTTTTAAAAATTATAGCAACATTTTCTCTATAATTTCCCATACACATAATACTAGATATTCTACCCGAATTGGAATTACATCACTACAACTGTACAAATCCTTTTCATCGACCAACTCATTTTATATTGCACATGTTCTATTTCGCAACTTACAAAACTTTTTTCAAAGTGTTAATCTCTTTGACTCCCCCACTTTAAACATATTCAAACGCCGTGTCAATGAGTGGTTGCTTGGTCTAGGCGGGGACGAGGCTGAGCTTATCATCGCAGCTGATTACAGACACAGACGCTCCTGACACGACATGCGACCTGACCATTGTACCCTGACTCGCTATCCGCCGCCCACTTCTCCCCTCTAGACACACTTTCAAAGCCGTAGAATTCCTGTCACTATTACATTTTATTTATTTTTATTTAAACTTAGTTATGCCACCTAATATTTTTTCACGTAGCCATTCATTTCACAATTTTAATTTTTTTTTCTTGTAACTCCATCACATCATTTTTTCACCTCATCATTTCTCCTGTCATTTATTTATTTATTGCATTTGATAAATAATGTATGTTTGGAAGCAACTGCAGTCGACGCACAGGCTCGCTGCCCATGTCGGCTTATTCCATATTAACATGTACGTTTTTTTTTACCATAGATGTAATGTAAAGGTTTATTTAATTTTATTCTTTTAAATTCACTTATGTTTTTGTTCTTCCTTTAAATATCTGTGTACATATTTTGTAAATACCGTAATTTGTTGTTGGAATAAAGAAATAATTCATTCATTCATTCATTCATTCATTCATTCATTCATTCATATATCAGCTGGTCAGATTTCGGCTGTTGTTTCATTGTTAGGGTGAAGTGGAGGGGTCGGATCGCTTATCCTCAAATCGCCTAAATTTCGTGAATGGAGTATAGTGACACTTTTATAACCACGAGAAAAAATATAAGGTTTAAAAAAGACACTTTAAACATGAATTGCACTGTATTAAGTCTATACAGCAAAAAGTTAATACATACAATAGGTTAAGTTACCTTTATTCTGTCCAAGTCCTAAAGTCGACAGGGTGACCGGTTTCGACTTCTATGGCGTCATTGTCAAGCTGGACGTAAAATCACTCCTATGAGGTAGTCATAAAGTCTTGAAAACACGTAACAAAAATGAACACGAATAAAAAACGGTCAAATGCATTGCCATACAACTTATTACAACACGGCGGCGGGTGCAGGGTGTACAATCTCCGGAAGTCAATACACAAAATCATGAGTTATTATATGCTCAACAAATGTAGATAGGGGATAACAAATGTAAGTCTTGAATTTAAATCTTGGAAAACTAAAAATATTCTGTTCACTTGTTTTTAATAGTTGCACTTAAGAGTGGACAGCGTTGTAATTTTTGTGCACAATTATTTTGCCAATAGCAATAGTTTAAAATAATTGACAGTTTGATTAGATTAAGTTAAAAACGAAAAGAAATTTCGTTTGAAAAAAGTTCCAACGTCTTTCTCGAAGCTTATTAGCAAACCTTAAAACCGTATTCAGTAAACAAAAAAAAATAATAAAAAACTGAAAAAATCAAAACCATCAACAAACCTCCTCAATAGAATTACATTTACTTACAAATTCAATTAATTGTATCATTAGATATTTTGTGTATGAAAAATACTACCGTGTGTAATTCCTACAGCAGTAAACGCATAATAAACCAGCTCTATTGCACTTCCTATAGAAGTTTGCTAAGGAGCTCAACTGGCCAGTTCAACTGAAGTACCGACTGTTGAACATGGGTGAACTCTAATACCAAGCTACATTTTCAACAAAATCATCACTGCAACGTTTTCCTTTTGATTAACATCTATTAAAATAGCTCACATGGACAGTACATTTATTTGATTTATTCTTTAAGAACTTTGACTTAAACAAGAGATTGTTGATTCAAATCGTGTACTTAAAGTAAACTTGTTACTTACCAACACTTATCTACTAAAAATGCTGAAAATTACAAATGTATGATAGCATATTGTATAATTAATCAGTTTTACTTTATGCAAGCTAACATAAATAAATAGTGTACATTTTTAAAAATGTTTAATAAATTGAGGTTAACTGACAGTTTTATTTTAACAAATACGAGTTTTATTTTTAAATGCATGTTAAACAATATTCTCAATGTAATAATATGAAAAACCCAATAATATCCCTATATATTAATATTCATATTACCTATATGAATAATATTTTCTATTGCATATTCAATGGCCGGTTTAACTGTGCAACATTCTAATGGATAATTCTTTTTTTGCAATGTCCGCGAGTTGGTCCTATCTACGAGATCTCAGAAATAGGTGAAACAACTCTGGTTAACGGAAGTATAGACAAATTTACAGTCTGCCCCTGCACAAATGAAAACAAACAAGTAATTATAAAGCTCATGCTATGTGTAAATTTTCCAGTGTTTTTAACACAACAATACAATGATGGTACTCCCAGGATGATGAGACCCCAAGAGTTTAATCTAGATTTTAAGATTGATCCAGCTCAGTCCATGCCGCATCTTAACACACAATCCATACTATTTCCAGGCTATGGAAGAGGATGAGGCAATGGGGCAGATCCCCTTCTTCGTTTCCACCACTCTAGGTACAACCTCCTGTTGCTCCTTTGACAACCTCCCGGAAATCGGCGCCGTCTGTGAACGTTTCCCGTCCGTGTGGTTGCATGTGGACGGAGCTTACGCGGGAAACGCCTTCATCTGTCCAGAATTGAAGTACCTCCTATCAGGTATTACATTACATCACACTGCACGGGTTGGTAACCACTTCCACAGTTTCGGACTTCCACCAGGTGTGACAAAAGCATGCAGTCAATTATCCAATTTGGCTACATACGTCGATGGTCATGAATCGTCTTCCGGCGTTGCCTTTAAGTCAATGTAGTTAAAAACCGCTCTCCCAAACAACCGCTGCGATTTCTAACAACGCAGCGGTCGAATTAGAAACCGCAGCGGGAGGTCAACCGCTCCTGCTATCGCTCTTCGTGCATAAACAGTCCCATTTAATTAACCCAATGGTGTTGAAAATCGCTCCTGCTACCACTACCGCTCCCGTTCTTGGTGCATACACGGGGCCTTGCGTGACTTGTCTTCCGCATCGATATAGAAACACAATGTGTTATAATATATTGATTGTCTCCCACGATAATACCGGCCAGTTTTTTCCGGGTTTTTCTTAATATTTTATTCGCCTACCGTATTTTTACCGTGTATTTTATGAGCGTTCTTTCACTTTCCCTCCTATACATAATACGCCTATATGGAGAAAGTATTGTTTTCGTCAAATCTTTTGACTTGAGTTTTGGTTGGATATATCCCTTAGCAAAAGAATTGTTTTCGAAGTGATGTCTGTGTGTATGTGTCTGTATGTGTGTGTGTGGGCGTGCACAGAGTTTGAGAGTTACAGACTAAACCTGTGGTCTGATTTTGATTACATTTAGTACGTACTCTAATCCATGGCATTTTTAGACGTATTTCCCATTTTTAATTGTATTTTTAATGGTGATCTTTCCATAAAAACCCATAAAATAACGGTAAAATTGGATGAAAAAAACTGCTAGAACAATGTTGATTGAACTTTTGTAATTTAATAGTATATTTCATTACTAGGACCGAAAGTGGCATTTTCCGGAGCGCGCTCAAGTTTTTGTGTGAGGCGAAGCCGAACACAGGAAAATCCAATTTCACATGCGAGGCGAAGCCGAGTATGTGAGAGCTATTTTCACGTACGAGGCGAAGCCGAGGACGGGAATAATGGAGCAAGAGCCGGAAAATAACTTTCGGTACGAGTTATGAACGATACTTTTCATCACGACGCAAAAATACACAAACACAGAATAACAGACCTCAGTAATATTACAACTAGTTTATTTCTAAATTATTTATTTTAAACATCAAAATAAAATCTTCTAAAAGGAAACCTTTGTATATTTCTCGATTAATCTTTTTTTAAACATAAAAAAATCTAAAGGGAACCTACTTAACAATCAAAAAATTAGAAGTTTATGGTTATGTTTATTGTACAGTTTTCATTGTTGGAGACATTCACTCCTTCGTTTAAAAGTTTTTTCTGAAGTTCTTGAATCGTTGAAACGTTTGTAGTGGTCGTGTTTGTTTCATCAACTTTTCTTACTTTTCTCTGAGGACATTCTTCATCTTCTGAGTTGTTAAACACATGATCAATGTCAAAAAAATCTATTTGGCTTCCTGAATGTGTTTTTTCTACAACATTTCTGTTTGTATTCTCAGCTGTTGAACTCATTGCATGCGGATTTTTAAACAGTTTTCTTGACAGTTGTAATTTTCTTCCAATGGAATTTTCTATATAACTCTCTGCGACATTAGAGGATTTCCAACCTCCGTGTGATTTAAGGGCAAGTAAATCCCCTCCTCCCTCAACTAGCATGGTGGCTGAGGTACGCCTGAGGGCGTGTCCAGTATAGCGCTCCGGTTCGTCTAATTTAAGGTATTCTGCTACCTTTTTTGGGATTGAACTGATTGTGTGACCCCCTACATTTTGTCCCACGCGTTTACCCTTCCTGTAACCAATTAAAAATCGGTTACTTTTCATTTGTCTGGGGCGCAATAACAAATATTTGCGAATCAAATCACATGGTCTATATGGACAGTTGTCATTGGTTATGGTAAAACTGCGTTTAATGTGTGTTTTGCCATCGTTGAGAAACACGACAAAAAAACTGCCATTGTCTGTAATATCTTCTACTTTTAAATTTATAAGATCGTGGTTTCGACAAGCTCCATAAATACCGAGCGTTAGGATGACTTTGCTCAATAGCCATTCATTGTCAGGAGCGTTAACCATGAATCTTTGAATTTCGTCTTCAGTAAAAACCTTAGCTTTTGTAGGTTGATAACCCACTGATTGACGTTTAAGAAATGCTAGAGATTTGTTAAATTTTGATACATCCACATTTTCTTTTAATTTCAAACCACTCTTTATCATAGAAAATTTACTCCACAACGTTGTTGGTTTCATGCTTTTAGATTTCTCAGATAAATATACTAATAAAACTTCGTCACTTACATTCTTTGGTAAAACATTGTGTCCTTGGCACCAGTCCATAAACTTCCTGAACTCCTCATTATACCTCTCTCTCGATTTCTCTGGAAGGAGGTTTTTGGTTATCTCTAAAGCTTTCTTCGATAAATCGTCCGAAATAATAGACATATTTTGGCCGCTCTTAAATACGCACTAAGCTAAAAACACAGCAAAACAAGCTTATGCCTGTTATTTATGTTTACATTTAGATTGTCACACAATAAAAACAGCTGATTCAAATCATTAAATTAAACTGTAACAAAACACTAGCGCGCGTAGTGAATAAATGGAGAACTAATTGAGAGCGACGAAAGTAAATTTAGAGCGAGGGAAAATCAGCTGATCGATTTTTCCTCGCCCTAAATTAGAGCTTGGGAAACGGCTACTTTCATTGATGTCAGCTGTTATCGAAAATAGTTACTTTCGTTACGGAGTGATGAAAAGTCTTTTTTAACTCTTAACAAAACTGCACAACTCCCATTGTTGTACAAATTACGGTTCAAAAGTGATTGCTCCTTTTGTGATTATCCCCATAGTTCATCATAGTTACTCCTACCATTTACCCATGGTAAGGGTTGTTAACATGCTAATGGGAGAAAGAATTTGTCAGATTGCTGATAGATTTTTTCTTGTTGTTATTTTTCTGGTGAAATTTTTTTAGGTGGAATCACAGAAGGAAGTACTCAAACGTGGAGTAGGACAAGCGGTCCATGATGTATGTGTTGTATATGTGCCGGTAATCGAACCCAGCCATCTCGTTCAAATCTAAGAAGCTTACCACTAGGGTAGCAACAAACCCAATCCTCAATGGTATCACTGGATCCAACCAAATTGAATGGAAACCTGACGTTTTTGTCCTACCTGACGATGGACTCAGAAACTATTTAAGTATACTGCTAGAAATGATCCCTCGACGAAGCATGGTAACTCAAAACATTTTGCTTCAATTCAGAGATCCAGAGACTGTTTACAGCATCAAAATATAGTACAATAAATGTTCAAACTGCTCGAGAGTTTCAGTGGTGTATGTACTATTTTCTCTTACACCTACACAGTCTATACCATCTTTGGGGGTGCTTAGTGAAAAAGTTCTTTGTAAAACAGCTATCTTCTTAGTGTTTTGCAGTGTTGTTTTAGAATATGTGTTGGCTGGTTCCTAATTAAGCTGAGAATCTATGAGAATCTAAGAGATTTAGAACTTTTCACATTGTAGGTTATGCACACTTTATGTAACTTTGTCATGTGTAAAAATCTTATAACTACCTAGGTATCGAGTATGCTGATTCTTTCAACACCAACCCTAACAAATGGCTGCTGACATGTTTCGATTGCTCCACGCTATGGGTGAGAGACCGCATCAGATTGACTTCTGCGTTGGTAGTCGACCCGTTGTACCTTCAGCATGGATACTCAAACAGGTGATGACCCTTACGGTTGCTGTTGTTTTACCAAACATCACTTTACAAAGGTTTTGCTACATCATATAGGAAAGGAAATGGCCATGGCATGGAAAGGAAACGATTCGGACAGATTCTGCAACATAATATTTCCTTTACCTTTCCTGTATAGCGTAGCCCAAGGGACAAAACACGACATTCGGTGAAACGAAACTTAATTACAAGAATATGTTGATTTAATGCTCTTTTGAGGATTCACCAGATTCTGCGAGTGTCGTGGTTTGTCGTTGTGTCTTGTATAGTGTAGGGGCTTCCATTATAGAAAGCAATGAATCTGTTACTTTTACTTGTTCTGTCCATGTATTTCCGTGTGTAGTAGTGAAGCTCAAGCTGAAATATCTACTTTTAAAGTTAAATAAATTTTTAAGTGAAAAACTGATTCGGGTGAATTCATTAAGGATTATTTGGAAGTGGTTAAAATGGTTTCATAGGACAGTCCTGTTTTGAATGCGTTTTAAATACTAACTGAAAGCCAAACTTGTGAAAATCTTTGACACTAATGAAATGTAATCTGTTGTAGCACCATCGACTACCGCCACTGGGGAGTACCTCTGAGCAGGAGGTTCCGCAGTCTCAAACTGTGGTTCGTCATGAGGACCTACGGCATCTCAGGACTTCAGAGCTACATAAGGAGACACATCAGGCTGGCCAAGCAGTTCGAGGCGCTTGTAAGGAAAGACCCGAGGTTTGAGGTCTGCAATGAGGTCAAGGTAAAGCAATACATTTTTTCTTTATTTTAAGACCTTACCTTCACAACAATCACAACATAGGTCATTATGCTCTACCCCGGAAGATTTTACACATCACTTCAATCTAGGCCCAGAGAGTCAAGGCATTATTCCTGTACGTGAACTTTATTGGTGAATGACAGATTTGAACCATGGTCTTCGGGGACCAAAGCCTCTTGCTCTAACACTAGACCACGATCTCCATACTAGTTTTGTGGCATAATCTAGTCGTCGTAATATTTAACTGACTTTCAACAAAAGCAAACTTGTATTGTTAAAATTAAGGTAGTCAAAATAGCTTTAACGACGAGATACCAGCTATTTATATGTTTGAATATCCAACAACAGCCTCGGAAAGATAAATAAATAAGCCATTCATAAATCGTGACTAAACTGGAATTTCAAGCTTGACTTATAATGGTAAATAGTCATATCGCTATTTCCAAGGCAATAAAGTGGTTGGTTTTGTAAACAGATGGGGGTGTGTCGACCACGGCGCCAAAATTACACCAACAGCAGCGCAGCGTGGGTCCCGGCGCCTCTCAAAATATGAAATTCTTTCTACAAATAGGATACCAGGCGCCCATCCTGTTCTCGATTCAAATAGTCGATTTTTTTAACACCTGTCCAATAATTAGTGATAACAAATTGGATACGCCATACAAAACAGCATTTGATTTTTGATTTTATGAGTTATGAAGCTAATTTAAATAAATTTATAAGAATAAGGGTAGCTAAAAACCGCTCAAAGAATGTCTTATGTAGTAATAGATTGGCTCTATAACCATTGAAATCATACTATTTTAGGAGACTTTTATTGTTATGTGTGGCGTTAGCGAAATTCCTTATGCAACATTGTTACTGACTAAGATCAGCTGTTTCTACAGCTCAATCAATGACCAAGGACAGTAACTGTTGGGATCTTGTTTCGATACAAGAAATAGCTACTCTATTTTCTCATTATTGAAACCGCGACCATTTGATTACTAGACGACTGACATTTGATTTTGTAGTGGGAGAGTAGTATTATAATTGGCTTAATTGTACAGTAGTCAAGTGGTGTTATGAGAGCGTAGTTGTCTGATTAGTGCTGTGATGATTTAATGGTAGTGTAGGCCTAATGGTCTAATTGTATCATGGTAGTGTAGTGATATAATGAAGTAGTTTATAGTGTAGTGTTCAAATTGTATGATTGTAGTTTAGTGGTATTTTGGTGTTATGGTAGTAATAGCACAACCTGTCGTGGATTTGCTCATGTTAAATGAATTTTTCTTGAAAACCTTTTTTCTCAACTCGTGTGCACTTGTAGATGTGCTTAATAATCCATTTATAAATAAAAATATGCTAACAAATAAGCACAAATAATGAATTTTAAAATATAAAAAAATAACATAAGTCTTATGGGTTGCCATGATGGTGGCGAAATAAAAACGAAATATAAACAGAAAACCAAAACAAATGGTAGAATTGCTCGCTTAAGCTTAAACCTAATTTGCCAGTAGTACTGCCAGTTCTCCTTGGAGCCTAGACGTTCGAACTTGTAAAACAATTTAAGAACTACACAGAAAATTTCTAATCTCACAGTTTACTAGATATTTATTTAAATTACAATCACTCTGGTGTTTGAAAAACTATTTTGGTATGGTAAATAACTCTTCAGCGGCCGTTTGAAATTAACGAAATTAACATTGCTCAGGTGGGCAAATCCAAGATGGTCGTTGGCTTCCATGGACTCCCTTAGAATATCTTTGTACGATAAATAACTATTCAGCAGCTGTTTAAAATTATCCAAGATGGCCGCTAACCTCCAATGGCTCTTTAATTTAAGTAACATGAAACACAAATTTATTAATGTACTACCAATTTTACCAATTGTAAATGCTTCTGTCGAATAGCAATGACAAACTTGGAACGATGTTTTCTTTTGGTTTTGATGAGCCTCATGGCAAAAATTGCATTTCTTCAAATCTTCAGTAGAAGGTATTATTAAAAATCTCCTGTGATCATGGCAATATTGTGAACATCTACCGCAGTCCGATGCCCCAAAAGTCACAGAGACCGCGAAATGGCAGACCTTCGCAACAAGACGCGTCCCTAAAAAAAAACCATATTAAATGTAAAACTAATCCGTCTTAATGATAAATACTCCCGCCGCAACAAACCTGCAGGCTAAGCGAATTTCCATTTGACTGATTGGATTTACACTGAAATGTCTACTTAAAAATATAACATTTATTCCTGATTAAATAGAATTAGTTTAACAAGTACTTAGGTTTGCTGCATCAGGGAGGGTAAAGCTGTTTTTTTTTTTGTAAAATGGTAATAGTTAGTAAGAAATTAAAACATTTTCCAAATTTGATCAAAATATGTTCATAAACAAGCAAACTACAACAGTTTACTTATTCTCCATAAGAATAACATGGGAATTTTAAATTTACAATTTTTTTAAATTTTCTCCGTAACCATTAGGCGCGTAATAACGCTTCAATATACTAAATTATTTGTTTTTTTAAGCTCTACAAAATGGTTTGGAAATAAATTGCTAAATTTTACGTTTTTTGGGGTCAAAAATGGGAAAACCCTATTTTTACCCCATAAAACCCCCCGTAAACACCTGTTCCCATGGTCCGATCATGCTGGATCGCGAACTCGTTCGAATAAACGTAGGTTTACACGTTTGTACCAAATTTCATCAAAATCGGATCATTTTTGCGTGTTATCGTGCTGACGGACACACACATTCTAATATATAAAATTCTCGTGTCACAGTGTTTGTCTGCAAACTCCTCCGGAACGACTTCACCGATCGTTATGAAATTTGGTGTGTAAATTCTGTAGGTATGCGAATCGGACGTAAACTATTTCCCGTTTCGAAATTCTTAAAAGGGCTCCGCCCCAGTGGCTCTGGAGTTTCCCATGTTAACCTTATGAGAAATGGAATTATTAAATCTTAACAACTGTTTCAATTAAACAAGTTGGTTCTGTTCTATGATGTTCAATAGCATTAAAGTTACAAGGATTACCAACAGGGTGCAGCACTATTATTTCTTTTACATTTATGACAACAGCTAATTTGCAACCAAAAGGTGAGTGAGCGTAGCGAACGAACTTCAATCTGGAGGCGAGTGAGCGTAGCGAACGAGCTAACCTGAAGGCAAGTGAGCGCAGCGAACGAGCTCCAACCTAAAGGTGAGTGAGCGTAGCGAACGAGCTCCAACCCAAAGGTGAGTGAGCGTAGCGAACGAACTTCAACCAGGACGTGATTGAGCGATGCGAACGAGATCATCTTGAAAATTAAACGTAACGGTACTTTCTTTCCATCGGTCTGTCTTAGGGGAAACCTATAACTTAGGCGATACGAAGTTCGCCGGGTCAGCTAGTATATATATATATATGAATTTGAACGGATGGTGTTTTTGGCCTCTAGGGACCTCAAAACGAAAAAAAAAATCGGTCCCACGTCCAGGTCTTAGCGAGTACTACGGTAATAGCTTATTCCCTATATGGGAAATTCGCTAAAATTATATTTTCAAGGGGAATTTCCCGAAACATTATGACCCGTCCATCCCTACCCATATGACATTGTCAAATATTCTTCTTTATGACGGAAAACATTTTCAACACTATTATCATGAAGTTTTGATCATCTTTCTTATCCACCTATCTATATAAATAAAATTAGAGTTTTGTCTGTACATTGCTTAGAATAATGAACTTTTTGGTTATTTTTACATTTCATAGGTCAGAGAAACCGAATCAAACCTTATCTCAATTTCTGTCTGTCTGTCTGTCTGTCTGTCTGTCTGTCTATCTGTCATTCTCTTGGTAACGCTAAAATACGCACTTTATTACAACTACTCCTCAATAACTATAGCACTGTCCCGCCTGAAACTTATTTTCCAAATACTATACATATATGAGATGGTTTTAGACGTATTTCATCGAATATGAGACAGTTAGATATTTAACAGTAAACCCTTGAAAATCAAGTTTTTGTCGATTTTTGACGTGGAATTTCTGGAAGCCCATGTTAACCTTATGAGAAATGAAATTATTGAATCTTAACAGCTGTTTCAATTAAACAAGTTGGTTCTGTTCTGTGATGTTCAATAGCATTAAAGTTACAAGGATTACCAACAGGGTGCAGCACTAGCACTATTATTTCTTTTACATTTATGACAACAGCTAATTTGCAACCTGGAGGCGAGTGAGCGTAGCGAACGAGCTAACCTGAAGGCAAGTGAGCGTAGCGAACGAGCTAACCTGAAGGAAAGTGAGCGCAGCGAACGAGCTCCAACATACAGGTGAGTGAGCGTAGCGAACGAACTTCAACCAGGACGTGATTGAGCCATGCAAACGAGATCAGATAGTAAAAATAAAAGTAAGCCTACCGTTATAGGATCGACCGGCAGACACAGAGGTAATTTAACCTTTTATTGATTGTCATACCGATCCGGAACAACAAAAAACAACATAAAATGAAGCTATGTATAATAGTTTGGCCAGCATATCTTAAAATATGCAAACCAACTGCTGTTCGTTATATAAGAAGGTTTCAACTGAATATTATAAGATCCCCGTGCGTAGAACGGGTACACAGCTAGTCATAAATAATTATCATCGTAGAAGGCAGATGCCATACGTGCAAAAGGGCACCCAATTGATCCTTGTCCAAATTTTGTTAAACTAATAGTAGTTTACAGCAACTGGATAAAATATTTTACAATATTTAAGTAGAAATATGGGCATGATTTAGAAAGTCATTAAGCTGGAAAACTGCAATATACTGCAGACTTTTTAGGGAGGTTACTTTGATGTATTCATTCAGCATAGAGAAAACATTATATAGATATGTATACAAATAAGAACTTGAACTCTTAGAGAGCCTTTGAATGTTATTAGACTAACGAAAGGGTTGTGCATGTTTACTAGTGCTACTCAGCAACAAAAACCTTTTAATTAATCTCTAAAATATATATTCTTAAAGTGCACTGAGCAGCAGCCTAAAAAAAAGACATGTAACTTACCCATATAGTTACAAAATGCTCAAACTCGCATTGTGACATTTATAATTCGGCTTATATTTCTCCAACAGAAAATTCATCTGCAGAAGAATTTTATTGTGCTCTTACCATGTCTAATAACATCCAAACACAGAAACCTTGCATAAAATGGTTCCCATCTTGACAAATTATTTGCAGTGGCCTATATTACGGACCATGGCACACTGGTTTGGTAACATTATTGAAAATAACACGACATTTTGGCTGTAAAAAATGGCCCAATGAGTATTTAAGCAGCTACTGTCATGACAGAAAGGTCTTATCCTTTTAAACTAGGTCTACGATATGAACTGTCGCGACGTGACGAAGGAAAAATCAAACTTACACTGTAACGGATATACCTCCCTTTGAAGTTAGTATACGTGTCTTCCCAACAAACAGATATATTTTTTCAAATAAAATCATAGATTAATTTCCATTACACTGATGAAATCACGGAAGGGTTTAACTACAAAGATCCACCAATACGAGTTTAATACTATTTAAAGGTTTTTCCAAAGGAAGAGATACCAGATAACGTACTAATAATAACTCCGATGGGGTAAAGTATGGGAAATATTTTATTCATTGAATGATCAACCATATTTGGAAACTGACGCAATTAATATTATTATTTTTTTTACACTTATTAATCTTTAAACAATGCTATATGCTCAAAATACGTATAATTTCACTAAATTTAGCGTAGTTTGATGAATTAGCGCAAGCCTTGAAGTAACCGTCGATTTCGACGGGTTTCACCTAGTAATTCAATAATTTAAGAACAAATGATTCCACAAATTACAATTTACAACCAGTTGTTCCTTTTGATATTGAACTATGAGTTAGTGAATGAGTGGTATTTGTCTTTTATAAATGACGTTAATGGTATAGTTTTATAACTAAAGCACGGTGTGTGTAGTAGGAGTATAATGAGGCTCCCCAGCCTCTAGTGGTTGGTGGTGGTTGATTTCATCAGACATTCCTACACGCCGCGTCATCATCCCCGTTATTGAGCTCAACAGTCCGCTCACGCCCCGGCTCTACAATATATTTGTAAATATCAGTAGAAACGTCTGGTCAACTCATAAATATATCTAGATAAATGGTATGTCTAAATGATGAGGGGAAATTGTAAAACCTTAGAGACATTTGAAACTTTTAAACCCTTAAGTTGCACCTACAAGTAGTTAACGCCAAGCCCAGGAACTGTATTTTATTCATAGTGAAACATAAATAATATCAGTTCTCAAGTTCAATTATGCCATAATTCCTATAGGCCTAACACCCTAATATGTTGTTTTCTAACTGTTACAAACATTTAGAAGTTTATTTATAAAAGGTTAACTAACAGCACGTAATTAGTTCCTCTAGAGATTATTATTGTTTAGTTGCTCCGTAATTCCAACAATGACATTCCAAATATTGCACTGTCATAATTTTAGTTTTTTGGTATACTGTACTATTTTTGTGCTGTATTGACTTTTTATATGAACCGTTCGTAGCATGAGGTTATGCTTATTAGTTAGAGGTTATTAGTGGTTATACCACTAATATTTTTTTTATAAAGAAACACGGTTGAAAGAGCAACTCACAAATTGTGCTACAGTCTAAGTTTCTGTTTTCTCCCAAATAAGGGGGGGGGAGGTTACTGTTCTAGTTCAAGAATTGGTTTTCATATTTTATAACCTTTAACTGTGGTGGAATTATAAGCGTTAATTATATTAAGACCTGTACTAGAGGGAGATTAGAGATTAGTATCATTATATGAGTGATGCCGTAGGTAAATACGTTGTGTATTTCTGTTATAGCTCTATTACTTTACATGAAATCATTTGTCTTTATACATATTTTTGAAGTACTTATTACTGCACACACTTATCAAGGTCAAAATGACACCCGTGATAGCCAGAAATGAACGGATAAATATGTTCATTAGATTCACTAATATCTGGGTAGGTTTATCCATTGACTATACACAGAATATACTTCCCAAATGGTAAAATTTGAATAAAAAGAAACGTGATGCAATCTGTTGAGATGGTCTACCAATTAATGACAATATTCTGGGTCAAGCGATAATTCGATAATATTTAACCAAATACAATAGTACCGGTGAGATGGTCCTGCACTTCATCTATTTTCTTGGCTACAAATTTTAACACTGCATGGGAAGTCTATTCTGTGTATAGTCAATGGTTTATCCTAAACTTTATTAACTCTTAATAAAACGATAGTGATGAAAATGTATCGTTATAAATCTCTACTTAAAAATTATAAACAACTTCTACCGGCACTTATTGGCTTAACTTAATGACTTATAGAGTACAATGTCATATTAGACCAGGCAACGAAGACAAAAAATTACAAAAAAAAGAAGGAAAAAACCACGTATAAGCCAAATTTGGTACAGTTGTAGGGAAAGGGTCCCTAAACAACATACTAAAGGTACCCACCGGTGGGGGTGGAGCTAAGGGCGCTCTAAAGGTCCTTTTTTTGGGTTTTCGTAAATAACTCGAAAACTATCAACTTTTTGTATACAATACTAAACTAGTAAATTAAAGAAAATTGAATTTTCTACAAGAAAAGAATATGATGTAACTATTTCGGTTCAATCATTTACAAGATATATTAAAATAATAAATATCTTATTCAAATCCTCTTCAGATAAGGAATGTACATGTAAATTTGTATGAAAAATAAATACCAAACGTGGCATAGCCTATCCACCCAAGGTCAATATAACCGATATTCTTGAAATGTTGACATAATTTCCAGCAGTTTGACACTTTAATAATAAAAAGTGGTCCAAAATTAAGGCGAGGGTCAGCACCCAAAAAAGTTGTTTTTTAAGAAAATATTACAAATATTACGGTTTCTGTGAGCCCGTTATGTATTTCTTATAAGAAGAGTATTTGAATAAGATATTTATTATTTTATTATATCTTGTAAATGTTTGAACCGAAATATTTACATCATATACTTTTCTTGTAGAAAATATTAATATTAATTTATTTACTAATTTACTATTGTATTAAAAAAGTTGATAGTTTTCGAGTTATTTACGAAACCCCTAAAAAGTGGACCTTTATAGCGCCCTAGCCCCCTTAGCTCCACCCCCACCGGTGGGCACTTTTAGTATGTTGTTTAGGTACCCTTCCCCTACAACTGTACCAAATTTGGCTTAATCATGATTTTCTTCCACTGCAATGTTATCATTGGCTGGACTATATGTAATCAATGGCAATTAAAATTCCCTTAGATAATTGCTGGTATAGCCGATAGCCAATGTAGCATATACATATTTACCATAGTTTGAAAATACTGTAGATAGCTTAACAGTTAAAATCGATTTGTATTAGTAGACTTGTACCTACACATAAAACATAAAATGAAGTTATTTATAAGTAGCAAGAGAACTGAATAAAAGAGTTTCAGAAGGTGGGCGTAGGCAAAACGTTAGAATGTGATTGTGAAGTACTATAATCGTACTCTGCGATGAAGGCCGAGGTTGTAGCAGACCGGTTGGACTTCTGCCAATGTAGGTCTTTCACACCATCATCTCATACAGATCTCACGCCCCCCCCCCCCACACACACACTCAAAACAATCTAGATTACCAGAGATTTCGAAAATAATTTACTGGATTGATTAATATAAAAGTACAGTATTAGGATTATGGGAGTTCGTTAAGTTGCAACGGTTTTACATTGTTGTGTGTTTACTTATTGTTATTGCGGTCCAGGCTCTGTTGTGATATAAGATTATTTACCTAACCCGCCATGTTAAACTTCCCTATCCCAAGCGTGATGTATATAACTTCGTTACTTCTCGAGTGATGTAAAGTTGAAAAAAACTCACTCGGTGATGTAATGAAACCCATTTAAATAACATTGAGTGGATAATTTAAAAAATATACCTCTATGGAGCCAACAACGTTCAACGCTAGAAATCAGCTGTGCGCTTGAATTTTATTGTTATGTTTTGAAGAATTTTCCTAACCTAGCTTTTGTTTGTAAATGAACGTTACTGTTAGAAGATGAGTGAAATGGATAATGAAAAATATTGTTCGTAACCTCCTGTATATTGTCGGGTCAGGTAAAATCTTGTACGTTACACGTTACGCAAGAGCGTGTTTACATCACTTCGGTAAATTATGCAACTCGCTTCCGCTCGTTGCACAACATTCACCTGCGTGATGTAAAGACGCTCTTACTACTGTACACTTGTAAGGTAAATAGCTATTACATATTCGTTTTTATTAAACCATGCACCAATGATCTTCATTTACTGTGATATCATTGACACTGTAAACTATTTATTGCTTTTCTTAGAGACATAGCCATTTTAAAAGTATCATAAAGAATTTTTGTATTACATATTTATATCATATGCTATGGATGCAATCTTGAAAAGCATGGTTAAAGCTACTAGAATTGACTATTGGATAATGAAGTAGAAATCCTGATTATAAATTGTTTCCTACTCTAACCATTTCTCTCTATTCAGAAAAAAACACAATTGAAAGATCAACTCAAAAATTGTGCAATAGTCTAAGATTCTATTTTCTTCCTAAGATTTTGTTACATTTATAGTTGCTGTGACATATAAGATGGCATTTAATAGTACATGGTGATTTCAAAAGAAACAGACAAACTGTATATGAAATTAAATACAAACTGTCTATTTCATTTGTAGTCACCCTGTAGTTTAATATTTCGACTTGGTCAAACATTTATATGCAAAATACATTAGTCATTTACATCAGCACGGTGGCTCAACTATTTTTCTCTGCAGATAACTGCCAACAACTTCTTGGAAATGGTCTAATTATCCATGGTCTCAACCACGATGGTGTTTTGCTATGTTTTAGCTGGGTCTGGTGTGTTTCCGACTGATCGGCTCAGATAAGTTGAATGAGAAGCTGTTGAGTAATATCAACGCCAGCGGCAAGATGCATATGGTACCTGCCAGTGTCAACGACAAATACGTCATCAGGTTCTGCGCCGTCGCCCAGAACGCCACCGAAGAAGATGTGGGTAAGTTCAACAATCCACATCTATTTCAATTTTCAATTTAAAATATCTTTATTCCTTCAAAAAATGTCCACCCAAATCGACAAATAATTCATATTGCATAATAAAAACCCATATAAAATTGAGGGTGAATAGTTGGGGAACTCATTTTTCCGTGCTGAGAATTAATCATTACAGTCTTTAAAACGTATCGTATTTACAATACGTCTTGTGTAAAAAATAATTTGCAAATAAATGACCATTTCTATTGAAAGATTTAAATACCACCGCCGCAGCAAATCTGCAGACCAAGCGAATTTCCATTTGCCTGAATTAATTAATAACTGACGTTCCAATGGTAGAAAATGAATTCTAATTGCCTGAATTGATTTTAAATTAAATCTATTTAAATAACATTAGGTTGAACGAGTACCTAGGTTTGCTGCAACAGGGACGGTAATAAGGAGTGTTTTTTTTTTTTTTTTTATATTAGTAGCTTTGTATAAAATAAATAAATTTGCCAAGTTTGATCAAAATATTTAAATAAACAAGCAACTACAAAATTTTACAATATTCTCCATAAGAATAACATGGGAATTTTAAATTTGCAATTTTTTTTAAATTTTTTCCGTAGCCAATAACCGTATAAAAACACTTCAAGATACAAAATTTAGTTCGCACGCGAGTGCGGTTTACAAGAGAACTAGAGGGCAGTAATAACTCTGGACCATTCAACTCTGCATTAATCCCTTCCCTGGCTGGAAGACTATAATCGTCACACATTGAACACCGACAACACAACAACACAAAGTTCCGGTTGAAAACTGTTCTATGAATCACTGTTCCTGATTCGTCCTTCTTACTAGCAGTAAACACCGAAGAATCTCAAAGATCGTATCGGAAGGGATAACGAGACTACTTACATAACAAACCAACTTACATAATAAACAAACTTACATAATCACGTGGAACTGAATGGGGATCAAATCTTTCAGACCGTAAAATGAATAGTTATCAATCAATAATATCAATTATTTAATTTTATTCCCATTCTTAAATAATACAATTATTTAAGATGAAGACGCCACTATGTGCGTATTTTAACCCAAATATGAGTGAAAAATTAGTGTAGGATGAGTGGCGCTATCTTGTAGTCCTGTTGGTGAATTAAGGCCGACATATTTCCTTAGACACAGAGCCCATACAGCTAATGGCAACCAAGGGACCTATAGTTTATAGGGGAATTCGAATCACTTGTTATTTTTAAACAGGCGATATAACTTTGGTTTTTTAATGTAATAGACGGGCAGTTCCATTTAATGCAAAAATTTGCAATTTATCCTCAACTGGATGAAAACCAACACATATTTTATGTGATCGTTGTTAAAAACGAATATACAGACTGGCCTTAAATTTTACTACAGTAGGCCTATTACACTAAATATTGGATTGTACAAACTGTAGAAATAACCCATTTCGGCAAACTTTAGATCAGTACTTAAGAATTTCAAACAGGAAAAGACATTAAGAACGAAGCATGATGAAGTATATTAAGAAGTTAATAATAAGTAGGAATAAGCCTTATTCACAGGTAGTATTTTGTATTAAATGATAATATGTAACAAACTTAATCTACAAACAAACATAGATGGACATCATGAAATTGGTGCAAAATAAATTCTTTACAACTGGTTGTAGCTCGTGATTATTTCTATAGAAAATATATTCATCGAATTTCATCGGATTATTCAGATAAATTGTTTATAACTAGTGATGAAACATGATGCAATTGTTACAGAAAAAGCTTGGCAGACAATTATTGAGTTCTCTGCTGAGCTTCTTGAGACGGCTAATGTTGAGAAAGAACAGGTAAAATATCGTCTAACATTATTTTACATGTGTACTGTTGATGTCTTAATTTGAAATGTAAAATGTGTAACTAAGGCAATCCAATCTTTTTTCATTTGATTAATATCATATTTGGAAAAGGTATCGTTAAAATAATGTTAAACAACTACATCATAATCATTTTTACACTGTACCTTAATTGTTTTCCTAGGTGGAGAAGATAATACTCATATTGTTTTAAAAGTTTTGGATACTGATGGAGTCATCCCACCAGCTGTCGCAAATTTTTAATCCAAATAGAACATGGTTGAATTATTATATCCTTTAAATATGCTATTATCTCCCTTAGATTGTGATAGAAGGTTTATATGACTTACAAAATATGCTGAAGAATACCATACGGTCTCATTACAGTTTGGCTTGGTTAAAATGGTTCAACAACTTTAATTATATAACGATAGTGATTATATTTTTTGTAGGCCTACCCTGTGTTCTTGAGCAGTAGTTAATACATTTGTCTAAATACATTTCACCAGCTTCAATGGGTCTTATGCTATCTTCATATCAAAAGCATAATGAAACCCTATGAAAATACCACACATTCGTGAAATTTACATATCATAGCCACCTCTAAGGCCGCGACGTTCGAACTGGCAACGCCGCACTCACCCGCCGCCTGGTCCGGCACTCGTGCTAGGCTATAAACACCAATGAGAGTATTGCTGCTCTGTATCAATGAATGAAAGTATTTAAATTACATATTTTAGTGGATTTTAGGGTATAGTAAAATAGACAAATTAGAATGTAGGTTGTTTATTTAGCGAAAAAATGCAACATACCACAATATGTCTAATACTAAGGATACAAACATAATGTTTTTGGTTGCATTTATCATATTGTAAGTACGATGAATGTGGAAATAGGCCTATCTATTAGAGGTGGCTGTGGTAATATACAATCTACCGCTCTAGAAAACAGGCAACAAAAATGGTAATAAATACTGTAGTATAAGATTTTACTGTTCCATGAATAGATATGATTTGTCAAATGGCATTTGTTAATTTATTTGTGTTATGTTTTCTTTAGGAGAAGGCGGACGAGGTGTTTGACCTGGTCGAACGCAAGAAGCGGGAGAACTTGGCCTACAAGAGATCATTCTTCGTCCGGATGGTGTCTGACCCCAAACTCTACAACCCTAAGATCGCCAAGGCCGTCCCAGGGTCGCGACGTCACGGCAGTCATGTGCAGGATGAGGAGGACGAACTGGAGTCTTGTCCTGAGAATGGTGTGGAGGAAGTCAACACCCCACTGTAGGTGCAAGTTGTGGCTGGGTCGGGGAGGGTGATGAAACGTGCCAGTAGGGAGGGTGTAATACAGAGTGTCCGTCCAGGACAAATTGTTAAAGCCATTCAATTACCTTTCAACATACCTATTTTGGTTGTATCGGCCACACAATAAAGTTTAGTTATAATAAGTTTGTTAATCTAAATGTAAAGTGTAAACTAAAATTGAAATTTTGGACTAGCTTAAACAATAGTCGAGGATGGCCAACACACACTGACTCCCTAAATTTCCCGACATCATCATGAGTTATTTCTTACTATAGGGTAAATGAAGGACTTCGTCCACCATAAAAGAACAGCTCAGTTAATAAACTAAGGAAGACAAGAAGCCTTACTCAATTTTTACCAATTCGAACTTAATCTGTGTTTGAAATTCCGTTTGAAAAACAACAATGGAACAGCTGATTTCTGTTAAAGGGTTTAAACAAAACTTGATGTTGGCTTTAAAATTAGCCGTAGTTGACTTTTCTACGATCCTTGGTAACAAGTTTAAGCTGAAGGTTTAATCAATTCTTCTTGGAACACGGTGTACTTAACTAGCACAAATTGATGAATGACGTTATCAATTGTATTACACAAAACGCTTCAATGTGCGGCCATCTTGACCTGTACAATATGCTTCCATCCGCCAACGGAAGCGCTTATTGAGCGCTTCCTTGCCTCAAAGATCAATGAGAATCGCAGCCAATGTGACAAATTAGAATAGTTGATAACAATTGTGGCAACAATGTACTGATATGTCGTCATTTTCGGCCTACTGAGGCACATTAGTACTGTAGTTTTAGCATTTTGTCAGTCCCGTAAAAAATAGATGGGTTAGGTTAGATGAAGTAGATGTAGATATTAAGGTCACTTGAGACGAAGGAGTGTCCTTACTTACCGCAGCGAAGGGTAGTCAAAACACTCATACACTTTATACCTTTTTAGGATAAACACTTATACACTTTATACCCTTTTAAGACAAATGTATTTTACTTAAAATTGAAACATTATTGTATTTTTTATACTACTTTTATTTTTCAGTGCCTCATGGATCAGTTGGCCTCTCGCATTCCTCTTCAACAATCTGGAAGAGGGAAGTAGCAAAGTTCCCGTTAGGTGGGTATCTAATATTAGAACAATTAAAAAATAGTTTACACTTTACAGTAATATTAAACATACGCCACAACAAGGTTTAATTGCAAAACTTTGACATCATCTCCTAAATCTAATGTCTTCAGAAGGTTTGGAAAGTCCTCTAGATGTTACCAAATAACTAGCTACCTAATTATCCTACCTTTCCTTACATAACTGTCATTATTTACTCATGTTGATATACTTTTTAAATCCCTTGATATGCGTTGTAGCATGGATTAAAGTAGTAGACACTCCTCTTTAACCTATGGTTGGCTATTTAATCTAAAGCCTTAATCCATGGCTCCTCTCTACTCTTTAATCTATGGTTGTAGACACGAATCCCATAAAAATAGTTGACCATTGAGAATCAAATTAGGGATTTTTTATACTTTAACTATTTTATTTGGAAAGTGCTCTACAAATGACTGCGTTCTTAGAGCTTGTTGACCTTGTGACTCATACTGAGTACAGTGCTTCGACCCCGCGTACTTTCAAGACGTCCTTCACTGCAGGAGAGAGACTTCGCCGAACGTCATGTATTTCAGCGGGAGAACAAAGACCATTACCTGGAATCCCCGAGGCGGATGCTGTTGCAGTTATTCTAATCTTTATCTTAATGGTTGATTGGAAAACGTTGCAGAGCCGGGTTTCGTCATGGGTAAAACAATAAAGGCAAAACGCGTGAAGAGCGCTCACGCACGAAATACCTGTAAAACTTATATACTTTGAGATTGTTTGGGCATTTGGAAACCTATGAAAAAACTTAAGTTTGATTTTTTATCTAGGTGAATCTAGACAATTTCGGGTTAACATAGAGCTAAGAAAAAAACGGGCGTGCAATAATTGCGCAAAAGAGTTCCAGATACAGGGTTAATTGCGCAAAGCCCTCAAAGGGTCAGAAAAATATTCCTTAGTTGAACCAAGCCCAAGCCAGATGGGGGTAAGTTGCCGGCAAAAGGAATAACCTTTTTTACGTGTCATCCTAACCTATCCTAACCTAACCTAACCTAACCTACTCAATTATACAGTAAAAGAGGGCTGTGCGAATCGGCTGCAAATCTCACTTCAACGCTTTTCACATCGTAAAAATTGCAGAATTGCTGTTTTATTGTAAAATTATCGGATTTAAAATGCATATCGTATAGGCCTATAATGGAAAAAAAACATATTTGGTCACACAACATTTGTTTACAAGATGATTTTTCAGAAACTTTGTCTTTATATGTGTAAACTAGCTGATCTGAATTGTACATGGGTTTAACTGACTACTGAATTCCCGTACGTAGGACGGGCTAACACCTCGTGAACCATAAAAGGTAATTTAAAGGGAAGAACCCAAGAGACCATATGTTTTACACATATTTAATTTTACGTGAATTCGTGCCTCATATCATACACAGCAGTTAACCCTATACTGCATAATTTTTTCAAATGAGTTAAAAAAATTATTTTTGTAATCCCCATAGGGCAGTTATAACAGGAAAAATAGTCAAAAAAATGTATCTTCAATATTATTCATTATTTTTACATTTTTTTTAATTGGCTCATTTAAGGCGCTTTATGCACTGGCGGTAAAAATGTCTAATTTATTGTTGGTCCAAATATGGCACATGATGCATTTAAATTATCAATGACTAAAAAATCTAGATACAAGGAAATCTGGAAAAATAACACAGATTTGAATTTTTCTTTTATTGAAAACCAAGTAATAACCTAACCTATGGTAAACTTTGCATTATAAATGGCAAAAAGCAAAAAAAGTCATGTTTACTCTAATTTGACAATAATACAGTTTTGTAAAAAAACGCATTGATACTTCTCTAAAACAATGAGTTTCGTCCCTTGTCACATTTACTGGTTATGGAACTTGTAGAAGCAGTTTTTGTCTTTATTGAGGCACAAGGTAAGGTTACACTTGGAACAATTCACATAACTTCTGCTCTCACAGTCAGGTAACTTGCATCTTAGTCTGTTGTTGTTCCAGATTGGCCAATGCCCTGTTTGGTCTTTTCTCACTTCTTTGGGTGGAAGAGCAGAAACATGAGGCTTCTTAGACTTGGTTAGGAGAGCGACATCTAGCTCTGTGCTTGGTCTTCCTCGCTTTGGAGTAATATTTGACCCTAATCTGCACATTGTAATAGCGACAGATTCTCTAAATTCTGCAAGAGGCATTATATTGATATCACCCCTGTCCCTACAGACTCTTTGATATAACAACCAGCTATTGCACATTGTTACATCCAACAAATGGTAGAAAAGTCTTAGGTACCATTTTCTAGTTTTCATTCTAATTTTGTACCTTCCAATAATAGAGTTAATTTTGTCCACTCCTCCCATGTGTTGGTTGTAGGATTTTACAACTTGAGGGCAGTTTACCTTCTGGATGACTTTTTTCTTCTTGCAAAACCTGTCAACTTGCTCTTGTTTACCAATACCTACAAAGGAGGACAGTAAAGTTACAGACTTGTTGTCTTTCCAGACAACACAAGACACTTCAACCTCATCTACTTGAACACAATTTTCAGCTGAGAAACCCCGTTCTTTTTCTTTTAGTTCCGTTTCCGATGGGAGTTTGTTTCCTGGTATTCTGTCCCTTCTGCCTGTTCCCAATGCATGTATATTCTTCTTCGCTAGATGCACAATCAGTGGCAGAGAGGTATAAAAATTGTCAAAATATATTTGATGATTTTGTGGTGAAACACATCGAGTTAGACGTACTACCACATTGGCACATGACCCAAGATCAGGCTCACCTGGAAGTCTAAGGGTTTCGTCATTTTCTTGACCAGTATATATTTCAAAATCATAAGCAAATCCACTAACTCCACTCAAAACGTAAATCTTGTACCCCCATTTGTGGGGTTTTTTCGGTAGGTACTGCCTAAGATAGTTCTTTGCCTTGGTTGCACACATTTGCTCATCAACACATAGCTTTTGTTCCAGTGCAACCGATTTGAATTTCGATCTCAACTCCTCCACAACAGGTCTCAATTTATAAAGACGATCGTGTCCTGGCTGACCTCTTGGAATAGCTTTGTGATTATCACTGAAGTGAAGTATACTCCTTATGAACTCGAATTTGTTGACTCCCATTGTTTCTATTATAGTTTGGTTTCCAATACTATCTTTCCAGTAGTTACGAACATTCGGTAACCTAACAATTGACATCATTATTAATATTCCTAAAAACTTTTGAAGTTCTAGCAAAGTCACACTCTTATTGGTGTTTGGATCTTGTTGTACTAAATATAAGTTTGATTCTTGCGTAATATTTCTCATAAGAGTATCATTGAAGAAGTATTTAAAAAAAGCATAAGGGGTATCTAGTGTCATGATGTCTTCCGACAACTTTTCATTTTCCTTGTCAAAAGGAATTTTCTTACTTAAGATGCTAGCATGCACCCAAGGTATCTTAGGCTTGTCCTTTTTATTCTTAGTCTTTTGTTTTCCTTTTTTCTTGCTCTTGGGTTTTCCTGTTTTTTTCGCTCTTACTTGTTTTGTCTTTTTTCCAACTGTTTTATATTTTTTTCCTCCAGTTTTACATTTAGATTGTTTTTTTGAAACACCAGAAGTACTAGGCTGAGGGCTTCTTTCAGGTAGCTGAGGGCTTTCAGGTAGTTGTAAGTGTTCAGTTGGCAATGTGCTACTAGACGGTAGCACATTTCCTCCAGTTTTACATTTAGATTGTTTTTTTGAAACACCAGAAGTACTAGGCTGAGGGCTTCTTTCAGGTGGCTGAGGGCTTTCAGGTAGTTGTACAATGGCTGGCTCAAGCCCAGATCAGCTTAAACTCAAAAATATAATATAATTCAAAATTGTTAATAGAGATTAATAGAATAAAGTAGAAATTTGTTATAGGTAAGCAAATAAAATTTAAAAACGGTATTGTAAGGTGCTATATCACTAAAATCCACCTCATAACGAATGAACATTGATTTATTGTCAATATGTATATTAAGAGTTAGTTGAACGATGCCACTGGATTATGAATTTTGAAATTTCCTACACATTTCTAGTATATTGAAACACCATATAATTGCAGTTATTTGCGTAGCCCGTAAACCATGATAAGGCTGAAATAGTTTCTTTCATCACTTCAACCGTTTACGTTGAACTAATACTTAAGTTAACGTAAAAGCTTGTGTAATACTGAAACAAATGAATTGTTTACCAACATTAGGTACGTCATCAAAACAAATCGATTACCGCTCTAGAGTGAAACGGTGTAAAAGTAGTTCTTTTAATATTTAGCAAGTCTTGTGATAAAAAAATAATTGTGCTATATGTATTCTAATACTCCAACAAAGTCTCTACTTTACAATCATGTGTTAATATGAAACAAGCTACCCTTGGCTACCCACAGAATACTCAAGGGTGTATATAGCGAATGATAAAATAATATGAACCATAAAAGGTAATTTAATGGGAAGAACCCAAGAGACCATATGTTTTACACATATTTAATTCTACGTGAATTCGTGCCTCTATCATACACAGCAGTTAAAGGTGAATTCGTTTCTACTACGAACTGAATCAGCAATAATAACATTCATGTAAACATAATATGAGTAGTCCCCCACTGCGAAAATGCGCACAAAGCAGTTTATTGTGTGTTATCAATTCACAAACACCGCGCCCAGATGATATCTACGTTGTGCAGACGATACCTACGCTAAACAGCTGATTGTACTATAGTTGAACCAGCCACTCGACAATTCGCACCATTGCTACAATATCATTAGATGATCAAATCATATGGATTTTATTCGTACCGGTAAGCTGCCATCAAATAAAGCGCACTGAGAAACGCGTCCAAATAAATCAATACAGTGATTATCTACTTAGTTTATGGTAAAGATAGCCTTGCTGTTAGTAATGATAGTAATGAAAACAGTAGTAGCGTTGAATTCCATTTAGATATTTTTTAAACCTTTCGAAAAACTACGGCAAGATCCCAAGTCTTCTTGTTTTATAGATCTGGT